CAAGTTAAAATTGAGAATCTCTTCCAATATGATTTGAACATTATTTTGAATATCTTTAAAGACATTATTGTAAAATATATATTTATATTAAATAATTAGACTATTGCTTATTTTTCGAGGTTTTGTGGCAACCCATGTTTCATGGCCATCTTAAATATTCATCAGTTCTTCACTTTAGCAAAATGTCATTTTATATAAACAAACAAACAAACAAACAAACATGCCAGATGAAGGTCTTGAAATGAAAAGACAAGACAAGGCAACACAATACAGGACAACACACACATACATATACATACGCACACAGCCTATGGATTAAGTAATGGTTCTCAGCCATATTACAGGGAGTTAGAATATTCCCCAAAACTTTAATTAAAGCTTTAAAATTTTCTGTAACTAATAAACGTAATAGCAAAATGCCTGTGAAATATAAAACATCCTTGGGAAAAGTGGCTCGTTTAGATTTTATTATGATGGAACCATGGTTGTCTCTTAGTCCAGGGTGATTGATGGGGTTTAAGATGCAAAAGTTGAAAGAGACTAGAATAATTTAAAGTGAGGTATGAATTACTAACAGCCTTTCTTTGTTAAATCACCTATCCCACAACTGGGCAAAAGAGCTAGTTCTGAAGCATGATGCCTTTTCTGATAGAGGACCCAGTTTTTGAAAAGTCTTCCCTGAATTTGGATATTTCAAATTAGCATCTTCAAATATAATTACTAAAATTTTCTAAGTGCTGGATTCAGAATCAGTGCTAGGCATGGATCAAAGGAAAACATCTGGGGCTTTTATTTCACCTTCAGGAGAATTTTTCCACCCATAAAGGCACCACTGGTCCAGCTTCTCTTCACTAAGTTCTGCTTCTTCCAGAATCAGCAAAATTAACAGATTCCATTGCTACACTTTTTATTCCCTTCCATCTGCCACCAGTCCTTCCCTGCTTTCCTCTTTTCCATTTTGAACTAGATTAACTTTCAGAGGAAGAGTTAGCAGAAAACTACTATTGGTCCTACTTCACACACACACACACACACACACACACACACAATGAATGGCTTGCCATTTCTATCCCAAACAAATTCTGGGCTAGATAAATCTCATGTTGGGAAGGAAAGAGTAAAGTATAGAATAGAATAGAGTAGAGCTGGGAGGGAACTTGGAGGTCTTCTAGTCCAGCCCCCTGCTCAAACAGAAGAACTTATACCATCTCAGACAAGTGACTGTCTAGTCTCTTCTTAAAAATCTCCAGTGATGGAGTGCTCACAATTTCTGGAGGCAAGCTGTTCCACTGGTTAATTGTCCTCACTGTCAGGAAGTTTCTCCTTAATTCCAGGTTGCTTCTCTCTTTAATCAATTTCCAACCATTGTTTCTCGTCCTTCCCTCTGGTGCTTTGGTGAATAATGTGACCCCTTCTTCTTTGTGACAGCCCCTCAAATACTGGAATATGCTATCATGTCTCCCCTATTACTTCTTTTCTTTAGACTAGCCAAACCCAAGTCCCACAGCTGTTCTTTGTATGTTTTAGTCTCCAGGCCTTTGATCATCTTAGTTGCTCTTCTCTGAATTTTTTCCAAACTCTCAACATCTTTTTTATGGTCACCAAAATTGGCTGCAGTATTCCAGGTGTCATCTTACTAGGGTTTTATAAAGCAGTACTAATACTTTGTGTGATCTTGATTCTTTGCCTCTGTTTATACAACCCAGGATTGTATTAGCTTTTTTTGTTGCTGATGCATACTGCTGGCTCATAGTCAAGTGATCATCCACTAGGACTCCAAGGTCCCTCTCACAGTTACTGTTTTTGAGCCAGGTCTCATCCAATCTATACTTGTACCTTTGATTTTCCTGCCTAAATGTAAGACTTTGCTTTTCTCCACATTGAAACTCATTTTGTTGGATAGAGCCCATTGTTCAAGTTTGTTAAGATCTTTTTGGATCCTGAGTTTGTCTTCTGGGGTGTTGGCTACTCTTGTCAGTTTGGTGTCACCTGCAAATTTGATTTATTCCCCTTCAATTCCCTCATCTAAGTCATTGATGAAGTTATTGAAGAGTACTTGGCCTAAGACGGAATCTTCTGATACACCACTGCTTACTTCTCTCCATGTGGATGTGGTGCCATTGAGGAATACTCATTGAGTATGGTTTGCCAGCCAGCTACAAATCCATCTGGTGGTGGTGTTGTCTATTCCACCTTTATAAATTGGCTAATTTAAAAAAATAAAAAAATAAAGATATTTATTTATTTATCAAATTTATATAGTCATCCATCTCACAAGAAGTGACTCTGAGCAGCATACAATAATCTAGATAGAAGAAAAAGTAGACAGTAGACTATAAAAAATACACTATAAAATAATATAATGAAAAGCTACCTCATCAATAGATATTATAGAGAGCTAATCAAGGATCAAGACAATGATATATGTTTTCACTGCCCATCATTATCAGCTAGTACTACCATCACTGACTTTTACAAGCTGTCATAGCAATGTGCTCATCACTCCCAAAGGTCTGATGAATCATGGCACTGCTGGTATAATTTCATCTGATTCTCTGATGAATAGATTTGTATGGGAAATCTTGTCATGGACAAATCTTCTTGCAATATATAACTCTGATGGTTTTATATGAAGTTCTATTCTCCACCTCCAATTTTCCCAACAATGATACTGATAGTCATCTTTTATATAAAATCTCATGATGAAAACAGTGAGCGAAGGAGTCTTTAATTGATTAACAGAATTAATAGTCAGTGATCATTGCAATTAGATTGGTTACCTCAATCACCTTGAATGGAGTGATCCTAGTGTGAAAATCTTCATTTTACAATTTGTTCTATCTTTTCTTTCTTTCTTTCTTTCTTTCTTTCTTTCTTTCTTTCTTTCTTTCTTTCTTTCTTTCTCTCTCTCCTTCCTTCCTTCCTGTTTGCAGTTGTATGCCAATAACTTAGCCAGTTTCCAATACAAGCATAACACTTATTGTCTTTTGTGAAAAACAGTTAGTTTCTTAGACTCTTAAACCTTGAGAAACAACAGCATCCTATTCAAGAAATTGTATCATGATTCACTTCTTCCACCCCATCTTTGAACAAAAAATAATTGTCTCCCTATATAAAATTGCTTTGCAAATCCCTTAGGATATGACCAATTTCACTACAAATTTCATGATGCTGTCCCAAGTGTTTTCCCTATGTTAGATAATGAGAGGTTTTGCTTTGTTTTAGTCTAGGAACCAAGGCAGAACTCAACATAACCCAGGTAATTTCTATAACCCTGAACCTAGTTCTCTGAATTGATCAAATGGTGTTTGAAGTTTGAATTTTACTGAATTGTTACTCCTAATGCAGATCTGGTCAATTAAGAAGCTACAATGTCACTTATGTAGCCTACCACGGTACCTCCCATTGATCAGCCTATTGTGGGGAAAGGTGTGGCTGCACAGAATTCTGCTGTGCATCCCATTAGCAACTTCCAATTAAGCAGCAGGCGGAAAGTCCAATCTACAGTTGAGTCTCCTATTTTCTGCTGGTCAGATTATAGAACAGGGATAATGATGCATGTTTGGGGGTGTTGTGTCTGAATATGTGAAAAAAAAAACAATCCTAAAATTGTCAGACACCCCCCCCCATCTCTCAGTTTGGGGCCCAGACCTCTGTCACTACCAGGATGTGTTTTTGATATCCTTCAAAGGAAAACATGGTCTTTGATGGGGGGAAAAAAAATGTCCATTATTGTTATAGGATTACAGAAGGGGCAATGGGATTTCCACTTTCCATTTGTTATAATCTGGTTCTTTTTTGCACAAGGGATATTTTCCTCTCTGTTTTTCAACATAATTTTCTGCATTTTGTGTAGCTTCATTTTTTGAACAGCTTTACTTTGAGACTGTCAGGATAATGTACAGGAACTCCAGGAAAGGCATTCAAAGGGACATGTTAACATAGCCTTTTTCCTCCTTATGTTGACAGCTTCCAGAATTACAGAATTCTAGAACTGTTGGAAAGTATGAACTTCACTGAAGCCCTGGTGGCAATCAAATGTAATGAGCTTTTCTGACTTCACAGAATAATAAGTTTTCCTATGCTATCAAGAATTTGTGCTATCAAGAATTCTTCAAAATCACAACAGTAACTGATGCACATTTATGATGGAAACAAATTAGCAAGCTTTGCAACCTTTGTCAGTGGTACTTTGGAAGGACAATCCTGGTCATCTGAAGATGATATTTATAGGATTTAACCATGCTGTCCCACTTGGTTTAATGCTTTCTATTGGCTATTTAAGCAAGAAATCAGTAAATTCTAGAATTAAGTCCATCAATCCAAATGCTAATTAGTTCAGAATGGAGACTCTACATTTATTTCCCTGCACTTTTCAAAAAGAATTGTCTAATGTTTTCTGGAAAAAGAGATGCCCTAGGTTAAATATTTTCCCCTACATATTTTGGGGGGGAAGGAAAGGAGAAAAGAATTAGGGACTAACAGCCGTCTTCTCCAATCATTTCCCATCTTTCAAAATGTTTATTCTACCCAATTCTAGTGAACTTCCTAAACAACCCTTCCTTCTGCCTCTGTTCCTCAAGCATGTTCAGCTGGCAGGGTGTGGCAGATACCTGAACATAGTATGAAGCATGAGAACATGCCAGGACTGGACCTTTTGCAGTGCATTTGGTTTAGGTAGCTAGGGGAGGGAGAAGGAGGCTGGCATTTAATGATTTCCATCACAAATAGCCTGAAAAGGGGGAAAGGGGTGTGTATAGGTCTGTGCAAATATTAGACCTGAGACCAGCTGTGCAAAAGGAAGCAGCTCTGCACCTTTTGATTCCTGGCACCCACGGCCTTCTCTAATCTGGCTTTTCATTTTCTGCACTGCTACAAACAACTGTTCAGGAGGAACACAACTCTGCTGCTTTTTTTTTTTTTTTTCCTTCCTCAAGGTATGGCGCTCTCCCTAAGGAGGTTCTTGTTGCTCTTGGTAACGCCCGGTGGGTTTGGTGCGGCTAGGTAGGATATTTCTGCCTGGGTGTGCACGTGTGAAATGAAATGCTTTTTTTTTTTAAAAAACAGAATATTCAATCAATTCTCGATTGAGAAAGGTGAGGCCCGCGTGTGACTTTTCTCTCCCTCCCCTTCGCTGTTCTGCCTGTTTGCCCCCCCCCCCCAAAAAAAAATCCAAAACAAAACAAAACCGAAACCTCTGGTTTCAAGTCTTTTCTCCTCTTTCCATGTCTTAATCCTTCGGAGTTCAGAAAATGGTCGTTGGGAAGGAGGAGAACCGGAGAGAATTGGGAAGGTTTCTCTCTCCCTCTCCTTTTCCCTTTCTCCTTTCTCTTTAGGGAATCTTCGTTTGATTCTTGGGGAAGCTTGGAAGGAGATCCTACCTGGTGGTTTCTGATTCTGTAGGTAGGTAGGTAGGTATGTAGGTAGGTAGGTAGGTAGGTAGGTAGGTAAGCCGTGTATGTGTGCGTGTACGTACATGTCAGCCTAGCGCTTTCTCCTCGCTGCGTTTTTCTTTGAGAAAGCCACCGCTCGGCTGGCGTGTGCGCGCCTATAAAGAGACTGACACCTGGATGAATCGGAAAGTAGGCATGATATAAAGCCCTCTTCTTCCCACCCGCCGTCCACCAGCCCGCGCATTTACAGTTCTCAGGTGCCCGTCAGCTTCTCGCCGCGGAAGAGCCTCCGAAGAGGCTCAGGCCAGGTCAGGTAGAGACAAGCCACCCGGGTTTGGAGGGGGACACGCCCCCACCAGCCCTTCTCCAATTTCCAGGTAAGCGTCCGGAGACGCCCTTTTCCAGGTTGCCAGGCTTCAAGCAAGTTCCTAGTATAGCGGGGGGGAAGGGGGAAGCGAAGGAGAATTCCCGGGGAATTCAGGTCTCTCCCCGCTTTCGGTGTCTCTCCAACCTCGCAGAGGCGGAGGGATGGCGGCGGGGGTGGGAAGCGGGTTGGGTGCAAGGGAGGGAAAGGAGGAAGTGACTGTCTCCCCCCCCCCTCTCCCCGGAGCACCAGCAGCAGGCGCAGCAGCAGCAGTTTGTACATGTGTGTGCGTGCGTGCACGCTTGTGTGCGTGTGTAGCTGAGAAAGATTTGGGAGGTTTAGGGGGTTCGTTGCCATGACTCCCTTGAAGCTCCGCCGAAGGAGATATTGATGCCAGTCACGGAGGGACCTTCCTCTTTTCTCCAGCCTTGAGATTTTTCATCCTCCTCTGCCTCTCTCTTTCTCTCTCTCCTCCCTTTTTCCCACCCTCTTTTCTTCCTAGCTCCCACCCCTTTCGTGGGAAAAAAAAAAAGCAAAAGTGATTAATTTAGCAAGCTGGGACGGGCTCCCGAGCGCTGTTGCCTTCAGCCGAATTCCGTTGCAAACTCCAATAGCTTCTCTGAGATACACACACACACATATACACACACACGCTGGCACCCCTCTCCCCCGCGCGCCCCCCAACCCGGCAGCGCTGTGAACAGCTCCCGTCAACACACCCCTCAAGTGGCAAGGTAAGATGAAGGGAGAAGAGGGTGGTGGGGAAGGAGGGGGGAAGGCGCCCCTTTCGCACCTGGATGAGGGTTAAAATCTACTGCAAGGAGCGTTTTGGGGGGCAAGGGGGTCAGATTTAGTGGTCCCAAGGGCTGAGAGATGCGGCGAAGAGAAAAAAAATGTAAGAGAACTGCACGGGACCTTTTCTTAACAAAAGGCGCCTATGTATGCTGGAGAAAAAATCTAAGGTTCTCCCGATAATCCACCTGCTGAGCCGGAATGAAACCCCTCTGGACTCAACTCCACCACCCCGCCCCTGGTCAGAAAGCCTCCGTGACCCAGTCCGTTGTTTCCTCCCCATCGCAGCTCCGGATCCTCAGAGCCCCAAAAGTAGCCAGGGAACTCGCTTCCCTTCACCCCAACCGTGCGTGGGAATGCGCTTGGGAATCTTTTGTGATGTGGTGTGTGTGTGTTTTTTTTTTTTGTCCCCCTCCCCCCACGCGCGACCGAAGGGATCCAGAGCAACAGCAAAGCAATATACGCCGATTCGGATGTTAGGGAGAGTCCCTTCAAATTCAAGGGGACGTTTGTCCTTCCTTCTGCTTTAAGTTGCCGCCTATTCGGAAGCTTTTTATGATATAATCTAGCGGAGATCGGTGAATTATATGGTCCCAGAAGTGGTTGGGGAGAGAGAACAAATCAGTGTGTCATTGTTGTCTGGTTAAAGTTTATTTGTTACAGTCCTTTGAAAGTAGAGGGGGGAATCTTTCTGAGCATGAGGAATTACAAGGAACTAGTGTGAATCTTTGAGGAGGGTTTGCAATGCTGAATCTGAGGATTGATTACCTGTATTTTCCCCTTCTAATGGCATTGTTAACTTGGATTTATTCAAATTTACAAAAATTGGATTCGATTTCTAATGGAAAAAAGGGTTCATTTGTGGTTTTAAAACCCACATGTTATTATAAATGGAGGCAAAATAGATAAATGGTGAATTATAGAATAAATATATATTCATTAAGCATATGCAATTAAGGAGCATACCAAAATTCCCATTAAAGTTGAGGTAAAGGTAGTTTAAAGCACATCATGATCGCAGGCACCAATTTAAGCAGCTCCTCCTAAATGTCTATGGAGATTCTCAGTCATCCAAGTCATGGTTGTCCCAAAGGTGCATTTTCAAAAGGCAACTGGACTTTCTTGTTTTTTTCCTTGAAGATGTTTTGCTTCTCATCTAAGAAGCTTCTTCCATTCTACTTCAGTTAGAACTAAAGAAGCTTCTTGGATGAGAAGCAAAAACATCTTCAAGGAAAAAACAAGAAAGTCCAGATGCCTTTTGAAAATGCACCTTTGGGATAGTTCCTCCTAATTGTTTCTTTCTTCCTGTCTTCCTATTTCATATCAAGGTAGCAAAGGCATGAACAGAGACAGAGTTATTATAACCTGCTCACAAAGCCCACTCCCCAAAATACCTGGCAGTCTCTTAATGTAGTTGTATACTGATGTTCAAAAGTAGGCTTTTGTAAACCTCTTAGGTTATAAACATGTTAAAGGAAAAAGGGAAACATGCATTTAAATGAATGAAACATGAACTATGCCACAGAGTGAGTCTCTATCAGACTACATCTAGATTAAGATTGACTTCAAATCAGAGTATGAAAGTCTGAGAGTTTGAAAACATATGCCTCATTGATATCAAAAGGATAAAATACAACTGTTCAGTTTTCATATAACTAATCAGAACGTGCCACTGAATCTTTGATAACAACAAAGTAGAGTAAGTAAAGGACTTGGACAGAATGAATTGGGTCCTAAAATATAAACTTCATCAGAAGAGAAGTACTGTTTTTAAAATAATTTAATTTGGAGAAGAATGGTTAATAAAGCTTGATTTGTTGCATTAGATTCAAATGTACCGCATAACATTTGCATTGGGGAATCTGCTTTCCTTTTAAATGTCCTGCATTAGGATTGGTTCTGAAACAGTCTTCTAATTTAGGATGCACATCTGTGTGTATTCAGTCTTCAAAAAGGTTAGAACAGATGTATACGTGCATGCAATATCACTGTTGGAGCTGAGGGGATTCTCAGTAGATTACCCTGGAGTGTTCCTAGCTGTGTATTTGACTTTTAACATTTTTAGTTGTGTTTTCTCTATCCCCATTCTTCCCCTCCTCCTCCCTCAATATTTATCAGGCAGGGGCCCTTTTATTGATTTTTATTTTTAAACTGAGGGTTGCCCTTTAGTCAATCAGATTTCAATGTTAAGCCCAATGCACAGATATCTATCTATCTATCTATCTATCTATCTATCTATCTATCTATCTATCTATCTATCTATCTATCTATCATCTATCTATCAAAAGAAAATTCTTGGAAGCAATATATGCCTGACATATTCTGTTCTACATGAGTTCATTTTTCCTCTATCCTAGTGATGGCGAACCTTTTAGAGACTGAGTGCCCAAACTGCAACCCAAAACCCATTTATGCGTCATCGACTGCGGGGTGGGTGTGGCCCATTGGGTGGGCATGGCCCATTGGGTGGGCATGGCTGCAATGGTAACGGCAGACTGGGTGGGACTAAAAAGTTCAATCAATCAATTCCAACTTTGCGAGATCTTTTTTTTTCCTCGCGAGAAGTTGAAATTGACTGATTGAACCTTTTTTTTTTTTTTTTTTGCACACAGAGGCGGAGGCCTAAAGCAAAAAGGGTTTATAAAACCCAGCTGAAGGCCTAGGACTGGGGCGATGCCGTGCGTGTCCACAGAGAGGGCTCTGAGTGCCGCCTCTGGCACCCGTGCCATAGGTTCGCCACCACTGCTCTATCCCATCAGGAATTCCAGTTAAGCCATGTTCATAGGCCTTTATGCTGGTTCAAACTGTCCTCATCTCTAACAATTCTACATTAGTCACAGGTATCTGTTGGTGTGATTCTTAAAAATTCTTACACTTGATATCTACAACATGTAGTATACTCCCCTCCACTTACTCTAATGTTAGTTATCTTCAGATATTCTCCCCTCCCACAAATCACTTACCTATAGAGCAAGCTAAAGGCAGAAAACTTTTAAATCTTATAAGGAATGGTGGTGTTTTTTGGGCGGGGCGGTATATGTGCTTTGACATGCATGAATCTTTCACAGCCTTTCCAAATAGGTACAGTTCTCAAATCTCCTAAATTTTGAAAAAAATAGGCTTTAGTATTTGGAAAAAGAAGGAATTGGAGAGGTGGGGAGAGAGTGAGAGAGGATATGAAAGTAATTCTTAGAATATGATAATTTCTGCTCAGTGGCTTCATTTAAAAAAAATGATGGAAGTATGTATATTTTAAATGTTAAGGAAAGTGAAGCATTTGTATATTACCCTTGGATTGTTTCCCACAAAGGTATCTCTGTGTTTTGTATGTGTGCTTATTAATACTTTGGGTCTCACAAATACAAATGCACATATGTACTATGAGTCTTGATGGACCATTTATACTCTGCAGAGGCAGATGAATCGAGCATGTAGAAGATTCCCTTTATAATAGAGGCTGTCAGAGTGATCTGTAAATGCTGTTAAATTAAATAAAGGAATAAATATTGATAAGAGAAAAACTTGTACATCTGTTAACCATTCCATA